GGAAATTGCATCAACATTTCGGCCATTGCAGTTCAGTGGCGTTAACTTGATTGCTAAAAAACGCGAAGTTAGTGCTCTGAGACCGAAATTGCAAACCTATTGCGTACTTGTGAAGTTTGTAAGGTCCACAGTAAACCTAGTCTAAAACCTGTTGCAAGACTAACTGTTGCCCAGGATTCGAATCAAGTGATTGCCATGGACCTTCATCAACTCGGAAGCACTGTGGTATCTACATATTATGTGTGTCTTCAGCAGGTTCAGCATGAAAGTTTCTAGACGCCAGAGTTATTGTATCAAAGCTTACGAAACATTGGGTTTCTGTGCTTGGTCCACCGACAGTAGCCATTCTCACTGATTTTGGGGTGAGTTAGTAATGAAGTTCTCACAAAATTGTCAGAAATGTACAACATCAAAATCATGACCACAGCAGCCTATTCGCCGTTCAGCAAGGGAACTTGTGAGCGACACAATGCTGTCGTTACTGACACACTGGAGAGAGTGACCGCTGATTTTCCAGATTTCGTTTTGGATACTAGATTGTCCTACGTCTGTATGGCGAAAATTCCTGTTTGATTTATTAAACAGGTATTATGAAAACGTTTTTTTTCCAGATGAGATCTGGGTTTTTTTTTTTTTTTTTTTAGACGCTTTTTCGAAAAATTCGCTTTCCCAAAAAACTACCCGTCAGATTCTCATAAAAGTGGTACCAATGGATTCAGTAGCGTTTCACCTACCTGCCTGCATGAAATTTAGTGCAATTTTTACCCTACCCCACCCCCTACGGTCTTAGAAAAGCTTCACAACTCGGTACTTTTTTCACTTTTTGCCCATTTTTTCGGAAATTTTCGATTTCCTCAAAAACTACCCGTCCAGATTTGGGATTAAGGGTTTAATCGATAGACCAGGTTGTAGGAAACTCCCATGCACAAGCGGCTGGTCCCTAATTTGCTTAGGGGAAGAGCTATAGACTTAGGAAAAGTCACTTTTTTGATTTTTTTGCCTATTTTTTCGGAAATTATCGATTTCCTCAAAAACTACCCATCCAGATTTGGGATTAAGGGTTTAATCGATAGACCAGGTTTTTTTCAGGCTCAAATTTTTTTCTGGGTTTAATATGATATAATAATATATATCATCAATATTATATTATTATAATTTTTTTTTAAGTTCAGTTCAATTCCTTTGTTAAAACCCGGGAAAACTCCACTTTCGAACATCGAAAGTGTAAAAATTACGAAAACGTGATCGACTTCTAGTTTCGAAAATGATATTTAAATATCAGGTTTCCCAGCAAAATGAAAATTATGCCGATTGGTTCTGTTTTTTTTTGAAATTCGGTTAATTTTATCAGGAAAGTGTCAATCATAAATTGTTTTAGACGTTCAAAGAGCTTTAAGGCCATCTAGTTTTTCGTGTTAGTTCAAAAAGGAGTTCATTGACTATTTTCCAACTGTCTGTAGTCCGTTGGCTATGTTTACATATGCGAGCTAATGAGAAAAGTGTTGCATGGTGATTCGACGTTTTCTGTCCCAACTCGCCGATATAAATGTTCCATTAGGTGGAACTTTGCTGCATAGCATTGGCAATTTATTAGCAGCTGTTACTTCTTTTTGATGAGTTGTTTTTTTTTCAAGCGCCTTTGGCACAGATACGGGAGTGTGAGACTCCTAATCTCTATATAGTGTGTACATTTCTGGTTTTTTGCATAAGTTTCATTTTTCAAGACATACATTTTTTTCATTTTGTGAGTTTTTAGAGCTACGTTTTGCCGTTTTCCGGTTTGCGTTAATGAAAAAAAGCTTCACGTCTGTTTTTCAATGATAACTCTGATAGTTTTGCAATGTTTGAGTCGCACAACAAATCGAGTTTTTTGCAACGTATATTGCACATTTCTGTAGTCAAAATCTAAAACATTTCAATCATTTTAACCTAATAGCGTTTGAATGACTGTTCTATAATGTTCGCTCAATTAAAAAGCATTCAGCTATGCTTGTTGTATGGCAATTTCAGCCAGCTGGGCAGCAGTCAAGACAGTGATTCAGGAAATCTAAACGCAAAATTGCCAAATTTTCTCTGCTCGATAACCCAAATTTCTCCCTTCAACAAATTACACAAGCCATTGCGTGAGGCAGACCCTCACGAGCACTCGATCCGGGTGGCCTCTTTTATGTTCTCAAACACCTCAAACCTTTTAAACTTGTTTACTTGACTTATTTGTAGAAACTTTTAGTGTCTGATAGTTTTATCCCTCAATTGTTGAAAAGTTTCAAGGTAATCACCCTGCCCAAACCTGAAAAGGAACTATTGTGCTCCGCTGTCAAAATTTTAGAGAGGCTCATCCATCCCTTTTTAACAGAGCACCTCCTAAATGCCACACACTAACACGAGATTGTAGGAAGAATTCCATTGATCCAGTTATCTCAAATTGGCTTAGTTGTCTCAACCTGTGTCATTTTTTTTGAAAAAAGCTATAAGTCAGTTTATTTTTACGTCATGCAGTTACTGTATCAATATTAAAATAATCAAACAGGTCTCTCCAGCTTTGAGCTGGGCCCCTAGTTAATTTTTACAACAATAACGGATTCACTCCGTCACAGGTCATGTTAGGAACAAATCAAATAGTTCCGAATATACTGACAAATACATAGATGATTTTTTGTGGATGAGATAAAACATTAGCAATGCAGTAATATGTGTAAAATATTTGAGTTGGTGGTATGGCGAAAATTAATTTTTACAACAATAACGGATTCACTCCGTCACAGGTCATGTTAGGAACAAATCAAATAGTTCCGAATGTACTGACAAATACATAGATGATTTTTTGTGGATGAGATAAAACATTAATAATGCAGTAATATGTGTAAAATATTTGAGTTGGTGGTAATATACTCATTTTAATACAGGTTTGTGTGTCTCTACTGTAATGCATGTGACTCAGTTCAAATGCGGGTAATATATTCATTTCGCTGTTAATTAGTAATTACTGGCTGCAGTGATTACTCTCAGGCTACGCGGACGCTCGCTGTAATGCCGACCATTTTAATAATATTCTCATGCCACTACCTGTCGCTGTTATGTGTCTTAGTGAGAATCATCACAACACTTGAAAAGAAAGTGCAGTTTGTGATTTATATTGTTCTTGTATTTCAGATAGTTGTGCCTCAATTGATGTATTCAGTCTTAATATGTTTTAATTAACACTTCCTTCCCACATTCTTGCAAGCGCTGCAACACTGGGGAGTCTTCTTAGTGATGTTCATCAATTCTCTTGACAAAATGCCGCTTTTGGAGGGCATAGGTGGAGTTACATCCATCCACTGCATGTAAACGATGGACGCCATCCTTTATTGCTTTGAGTTCTTCCGCAAATCAAGGAATGAAAATAAATCTGTTGCCGTATCTTTATTAGATTTATCAAAAGCTTTCGATTCTATCGACCACGATCAATTAAAGAACAAATTGTATGATTTGGATTTCTCTGTATTGGCAATCGAAATGATTCATAGCTTTATAAACAATAGACAGCAGAAAACTGTCTTAAATAATATGGAATCCAATTGGATCTCACTTCACCAAGGCGTACCTCAAGGTTTAATTTTGGGTCTCTAATTTTCAACTTATACATAAATGATTTGAACAAAAAAGTTAACTGAATTTTGCAAAGTGTTACAATATGCAGATGATACACTACTATTTTGTGATGATAATGGCATCAACAATGCTCTACAGCTATTGCAAAAGTCCTGTCAGAATTTGTCTCTATTCTTCACAAAACATTCTCTGAAACTCAACACAAAGAAAACTGAGTTGAAAATATTTAGCAAAAATTATCCAGGCAGAAACCTCAATTCAAAGTTCAGTATAATATTAGATGATAACAAAATAGAAAAAAAAGTCAGAAGGTAAGTATTTGGGGTTAATTCTAGATCAATTTCTAACCTGTCAGGGAGAAGTTAAAAATATTAAGGAAAATGGCTTGCGGGATCAAAACCGTACAATCGATTAAAAAAACCACTGACAATAAAAAACCGATTATTGAAACGTTTTAGTCATAAGCCATCTGCACTACACAGCAGTACTATTAAGCAGTTTGACATCCAATCTAATAATATCCCTTGAAAAACAACTCAGTTGGGCAATAAAGACCTGCTATGACAGAAAAAAATTGATTCTTCATCCGATCTTAAGCTGGAATACAACGTACTTCCGGTTTCCTTGTTTCTCGATTGGAAAATAGTTTGCCATCAATGGAAAATCAAACATAAACTACTACCGGCATACACAAAAATCAAGTACGTGAACAACATAATTGACGAGAACAAAAGAACTAAAAAACTACACTTTCAAGTAAGATTCAGCAGCCATTATATCGAAAATTGTTTTTTTTTTCTTTCAGAAAATCAGTTCTTATTTGGAACCAAATTCAAAATGCAAATTCAAACATAAACAGCTGCAGTTTAACTTACAAGACTATGAAATTTAAATTTAAGAAATATTTTTTATCTTTTTTGCGTGAAGATCCTTCTATGGCAACCTATGGAAAAACAACATGGAAACAATTTAAGTTTATTTGATGTTGAAATTCGAACCATTGATTTAAATATTTTGTAAATAAGTATATACTTATAAGTATAACCCAGAAAAGTCGTTTGACTTACACTTGCTTAATAATAATAATTATCATTTTGCAATTGAAGTGTTCATTTTTTTGTAAATTCATATATGTTTTTAATTTTCGGGCGCTGAAATTTTTTTTATGCTCCGAAAATTTCGCCAAATTTGCAGCTAGTAGTTGCGATGGATTGCCTCGATATTTTGTTCTCAAAATAAGGGTTGAATTTTTCGACCAGTTTTCGTTTCCTTTTTTGATACCGAGGTTCGGATACTATCCCATCCGTTCATTTTTCCGGATATTGATTTTCAATCCAATGTTTACGGTTTTTCTTAAAATGGTTTTCCTCAATGCCTACCAAAATCACCTGCTGATCCAGCTTGCTGAAATTAGGTTAGTTTATTCAACAAAATTAGTTTTCCAGTCTCAGCAGAAAGGTCTGTTTAAGAACAAAAATATTTTCAGACATAAAAGATGAAACTCAAGCAGCTGACAGCTGAATTGCAGAAAATTGACAGTTTCTCGAAGCCAAAAGTTCATTTGGAACAGTATGAGACACCACCTGAGCTAGCCAGTGAGATGGTTTTCAGTGCTTTGCAAAATGAAGATATCTGTTCTGATAGTAGAGTTGTGGATTTGGGATGCGGAACTGGCATGCTTGGAATTGGAAGTGTTTTATGCGGTGCAAACTATGTTCTTGCAATTGATATTGACGAAGACGCTCTGAGTGTAGCGCAAGGGAATGTAGAAAATATTTTGAATAAATCAGTTATCGATTTCATGAAAGCTGATATCAGAGATTTAAATTTTTTGTGTTTCAAACCGGCTGTAAATTTTGACGTCGCCTTCATTAACCCACCATTTGGCACGAAATCACGCCATGCTGATATGAATTTTCTGGAGTGCGCCAGCAAAACTTTGGGATGTCGAACCATTTATTCTTTTCACAAAGGCTCAACTCGAACACATGTTTTAAAAGCCGGAACAGCTTTTGGATTCAATAAATGCCAGGTTTTAGCAGAATGTCGATTTCCCATTTATCAAACGATGAGAGGGCATACTAAGAAGTGCGTTGACATAGATGTTGATCTCATTCGCTTCAGTCATTGATATCTGAAAATCAAGTTGACATGATTCGACGAGTAATTTGAATCCTGGGCGAAATTTTGTTGATGTAGCAGTGTGTCTGAATTCGGAATCTATAACGAGTCAAGATCTTTGTTTAAGATAGAATATCATAGATGCCTTGTCCTTAGATACGAGAGCTGAAATGGACTGCATTATATTAAACTTACATGATTAAAGCTTTCTGGATTCATGTATGTAACATGTTTATTTATAGCAGATTATTAGCTCACACTGCCAGCTATGATGAAATCTAGACATAGCCTTTAGTCACTAGATATCTTGTATTAAGTTTTTTTAAAAATAAAGGCCTTGACTGTGAATCGAGCAAAGTCTTGATGGTGAATCGAGCAAAGTAAAAATATGAGTGAAGCTTTGGTTTTCAGCTGTGGTAAGTTTTTACACATTTTTGGCGAACAGTCAAAATGAGTAATGTTTCGAAACCAGATTTAAAAGGCTTGTTTTTGTTCATTAGTCAAACTTAAGACGCCTTGACATAATTGAGTGGTATTTTGTCATTGGCTGCGAGAAACAGATGAAATATAAAACACTGATGCGCAGATCAATCTATAACTCCTAAAGTTGCCTTTGCATTAAGTCTTTTAAGACCGGTTGTTTTAAATGAAACAAGAAAAGTCAGTTGCTGTGCAAGTCTTACAATGTTTCCACCACATTGTTTAACTTCAAAAAACGATTAAAAAAATGAATTAGACTTTTTGTCAAAGCTTAATTTTTTTCTACTCTTACTGGGTATTATGGAAATCAGCTCATTAAATCGTATATGATTACATAAGTAGTTCAACTTACAGCTGTAAAATTAGAC